ACTGGAATGACTTTGTTGTACACGTTGGTTACTATACACAAAAATAGAAGGCTCGGGTTTGGTTGGTTGAGGGTGAGTAACGTCTGTGAATAATGCGATCTGTGTTTGCAAGAGACAAGCTGTCTCCACTGTGGTTTTCCTGACTATTTGTAATATTACAAAATGTAGTTAAAACACATATCATCACGTATACCTACTGGTAGATGTACTTTATTATACAACACTTGCTTTTGCTGTAATTTTCAGAAATGGGAGGATTTGGGGGGTTAGTATTTTATAGCAAATATTGTTATACTGACCTGCTGAAAGTTTGTGTTTGTAGATGCTGAAACAAACAAGACAAAATAATCATGTTCTTGTAGTCTGGTTCCCTGACCCCACTTCAGATGAAACAGAACAGTTTATAGACGTCAGCGAATTGTAAGGTCAGGGAACCGGTCTAGCTGGCAGTTTTTTTTTCTACCGATGGTCAGCCTGACCTCATCATGGGGCATACTTTCTAATTGTTTTACAATATTTGTGAGATCAGATTTTAGGAATTTTGGCTCTTGAAAAAAATCTAGGCTATACCTCCGTAAGTGCCCCTTGTTCTCCAGTAACAAGCTGGCCAGCCCGCCTAAGTGGCCTACTTCATAAATATTTAAGGGCCCTCGGGTTTACAAATACCTGTGCCCAATATTCAGGTGTTATGGCAGAATTCTGTGTTTTTTTTAACAGGGGGCCTGGGATGATAACAGAAAAAAAACTCCTTGTAAATAATGTCGGGGAAAACAAGGGCAACTGTAAATAACGCTTGTGACTGGCAGGGATGGCTTAACCTCCTGGACATTCCAGGCCGACTTGTGCCACCACATGGGCGTCAGAGCTTAGATTAATGGTGTTTATTTTAATATCCCGGAATATGTGATGGTATGTAATTGGAAGGGGGGATCCAACTGGATCTCCTAGGAGGAGAGATTCTTTGATTATAAACATGTATTGCAATCTGGGTGACAAGTGGGCTGATAGTGGAAACTAGAACTCACTCAATTTTTTTTCACGTTGCACGCTACACATGTGCGTCGGACCATGGTTGGAACTTGTGTTTGCTGCCTTTATGAGGATTGGAAAATGTGAAACGTCTTTTATCAGAATTCTTTGAAATCATTATTTTAGTGAAAAACTATACTTCTCCCCACGAAAGCTTTATTTCCGCAATCTGATTTTAATAAGAAATGGATACCTTGACAAGACTACATGAAGCCCACAATTGCCTTGTTTGATACTTGCAGAAGATTGCGCAAGTGGAAAAGTGGACACCATATAACTTATGGTACTTATAAATTATTTTTTCAATGCTGGTTTCCAGTGAAAAGGGATTTTTTTCCCCAACAATTTAAGAGAAAACTAACAGCATGCAGCATGCATTTTTTTGAGAATGAGAGCAGAGTGGGTCAGCCAAAATTTGTAAGAGAAATGTTCAACACGATGAGAATTGTATTAACAAAGTGATCAGGGAGCTGCCTTTTGTAGCTAGGTGAAATGGGAACAAGTAGGGTTGTGCTGGTAAAGCAAAATTGACAGGGTGTGAAGGCCTCAAATTTGGTGTTGCCGGGTCAAAGGTTACACGATGGTGTCAGGGGAACGGCAACCAGTGGGATTCATCCCTGAGAGCTCCTCACGTTCAAACCTGCCAAAATCATGCTCGGCAAGTATTTGTACAGGGGCTCCGTCGACGACGGGCATTGTACAGTCACACTCCGCTGAATACTTGCCCCCTCATGGGGGAATTAAGAACTTCCGTAAACTAAAACCCTGCTCGCACCGTACCACTTTGGTTGGTGGTATTCCTCGTTGCAAACCCCCCCCCCAACCACCACTACCACCGTTACTCCGGGTAATCCTTGTCCAAAGACCACCGCAACGCCTGCAGTTGTTGTTGCAAGACCCCGGGTCAGCACTGGGCAAATACACGTGCCAGGGAAGGGTTTCGGATCTGGGGTCTGCGGGCCCCATTGAGCACCTACTGTTCGCCCATTGAGTTCCTTCTGTGTGCCCGTTGGGATTCCTGCCTGTGCCCGTCGGTCGCCAGCTTTTTTCAAATGCATTGGCGTTGGGTAATGGGATTAATTTTCCTGATTTTGGAGTTTGACCCCACACCGGTTTTATTTTTTATTTTTTTTTTTACATGGAAATCTGAGGTTTAGAAAAAGCTTTTGGTTGGCCATTGTGGTACGGAAGAGTAGGACCTGTTCCGGGGTTGAACGGCTCACTTGAAAAAAAAAAAGTGGAATTGTCGGAATCATGCCATGCAAAGTGTAATTGTTGCCATAGAAAACGGTTAAACAGAGTGAGAGATTTAAACAATGGCCGTTCAGACCAAAAAAAGTTACCTTTTTTCATTCAGGTGGTTTGATTTTTCCCAAAAATGCTGCCCCCCCCCCTAAATAAAAGTCATGACATATACAAAGTTGATTGGTAAATGTTCAACTGGTTGCATACGTTGTAAGGTCATGTTGTTAGCATGTTGTCCACTTCAACGCTGGATTAAAAAAAAAAACCTGATAAGACTAACATCCCGATGTAAACATACATGTACTTGTAACATCCCCTCCAAAAAAAGCGCAGAAGACTCTGCTAAAACTTTATTGCATTCTGAGCACATACAAAACCCATTGACACAATTCCTGCCCTAAAGTTTTGAGGACTAATCATTTATATTCTTCCTTATCAGTAGCTATCTCCTCCGTCTGCTTGGGTAAAAAGTCCAAACGGCAGCCCCAAATGGGCAGATAATCCCCCCCCCCCCTAAAAACACCCATTATGCATGCAGCACGTGCCTAGCGCGGGAGGGTAAAGGCCCGCCCAGTGCCAAACATGTTGCAATCAATAAAGAGCGGGAGAGTTGGGCTTTGTCCTGAGAGTCTTCACCTAATTTAACGTGGGGATAAAGTCTCTAACCCCCCTCCCCCCCCAACTACCAAATCCTCTCCCCTGGTATTGATCAGATACCCAAACAGAGAGCCCTGATCGATCTCAGATCTTGTCTGCATGCCGTGCACGGGCCTCCGGAACAGCCAGAAACAATAGGTCCTCAGTTACTAATGTGTGTTCGCTACATGGCTTTTATTGATCGCTTTGGTAGTGCTGTTACTTTTTTTTTTCCAAAGGTAGGGGGATGGAATTTGTTGGACAATTACAGAAACAATGACTGCGGAAGAAGCAGCTGCCGTTGCAATGTTCCTTAAATCGCTTTTGAAAATGAAGACTGATGAAACATTTAATACATTTTCATGGAATGCGTCGGCTATTTGTAAGTTACTCCATCCAGAAGTGTGAGCATTGGACAAGGGTTCGAATGCGGCGGCAGTAAAAAAAATAAAATTACACGCAGCAAAGCTACATGTACCGGTAGATTTGTTATTCCGTAAAGTGATTTTCTTTTCTTCTTTAACACTTTTTTCTTGATTTCAAGGAAAATGAAAATGACAATCGTAACTACTACTTTTCTCCAAAAAAAAAAAAAAATATGGTGAAGGACTACTCTTTCCTTTCGTCTAACTAAAATGGTGGATGTTGTCACTGCAGACTGAGTCATCTAAGCTGATATTGGAAACACTATTGAAAACTTTTTATTGTGGAAAGTGATGAGCAACTAGTGTCAGACTGTCATTGTATAGTTGTAGTCTTTTGTAAAGCTATTTTTGTATTGCTTATATCCGTATGGTGCAAATATTTTTGAGGAATGAATTTGGGGAAAAAAAAAAAAATCATTGTTGTGATCAATAAAAGAACGCTACCCAATTTAGGGTCGTGTTGGGTGCATCTAAATGTAGCTCTTTTCATTCACAAGTCGTAAATATTTTGTACATCTGTCAAAAAATGATGAACGACAAAGAGCTGTCGTTATGAAAAGAGTATTCAAGAAAAAGTTGAAGGGGCCAGGGCATTCCCCCTCCTATCCTCAGAGAACCTTTCAGTGCGGCCAATTTCCCACGCCTAGCGTGGTACCTGGGGCAAGATAGTCTGTATGGTTCTAGCGTGCGCTCGGTATTATGAATGAAAACACAGGTATACATGTAGACGTACATTGTATAGTTGTACGAGGAAGGTATTTGTACTTTGTGTGTACCAGTGGGGCCGCCTAATGTCTAGCGTGCACTCGGCGTGCAAAGAAAAACCAGCCACAGTCAGCGCGCAGCATGCCCGAAAGTGCTTTCGTTTATTTGCAGCGTATGCACGAACACACTGGAAATATGAATATTCATGAGATAGGAGATCAAATCTTCGAAATTCATTTTCCGCTTAACGTGTCTTTAAAAGTAGGATTTTATTTGAAATAGAGATTGACAAGGGTATAGTTTAATTGTTAAATGATAATAATTAAGTTTTAAGCAACTATTTTGTGAAATATGGGGAAGGAAATATGACCGTTGTTGTGGTGAATTTACGGTCGGTGAAAATCGTCCTTTTTTCTATACTAAACGAAGTTGGGCAGAATGTTTTGACAATTTGATGAAAAGCGACATTATTAAGCTACCTTTATTTTATAACTTTGGTTCTCTTGAGTATCCGAGGTAGTCAGGATCACTCAAAAAGGATGTCTATTCCGAGTGCCCAGGTCACGAAAATAACACCGCTCTGAAAGAACGTGCGTGGCGGTTTCGTGCCCTGCTCCACACGTACACGGGATCACAATAAGTAAACGCGGAGTAAAGGCACCCGACTATAATAAACTGGTTGCGTGTCTTTTCGAAACAGGGAAGTAAAACGATGTTTCATGTAAACGCATTAAAAATAAGACTTCGTCGGGTTTTTTTTTCGGGGGGGGGGTCCTACTAAGTGTTTATGCTGGCAATGCAATAACTATTTCTTAATCATTGTGGGGATTTATTGGGAGGGGTGGGGGAGTACAAATTCGCAAAATAAACTATATTTTTGGCTTTATCTTAAGTAGGAAAGTGGACATGCATGACATGAACCTGAAAACAAATACAAAACATGTATAAAGAATCAAGTCGTCTCTTTTCTTGACTGAAATTCTGGGAAACACTTTATTCATGAAATCACAATTACATACTTTCAGCTGCATTTAGTTAAACATTAAGGTATACTGAAACACTTTAATATTTGAACCACTTTCAGTTTCCAAGAAAAAAAACTTTACAAATGAAAGTTTCTCACAACATGGAATAACTTACAAATATAGATCTAAAAAAAAAAGTGAACATGAAAATTAAGGCACAGTTTCTTTATTGTGTGAGGTTTTTAATGCTCTGGAAAACACTGATGTACAATGTACATGTACATGTACAGTAACTATACTCTTGCGACATGTATAGACCATGAGCTTATAAAAGTCCACGTGTCAGCAATCTGTTTTAAGGCAAGATTATTCAACCGCTCCAGCCCTTGGCAATAACAATAAATTGTATTTCTTAATAATTACAAGGGTAAGAATGCAGGCGTATAAGAACAAATAATAAATATTTAAGATTGCAATGGTTACAAACTAACAAGCAATCAATACTGTTCAGGCTAGTTTCCATCTCAACGTAAAAAACGCAAAGTGAAACAAAAAAATGGGACCAAAACTGCAGAACAGATAATATGGAAACATTTCATCTGGAAGTGTCGCCGACAACTCAGACAGACGCAAACTGTTTCGCAGACGATCAGCAAAGTTGCCAGTGCTTCATAATGTTTCGCAGTCTGCATATTTTCAGAACATCGATATGGACTTCGAGTGCAGTGTACAGTCGTTCGCAGAGGTTTGTATTGTATTATCGGTTTTCAATATACAGCATAAAGGCTACTGACATTGATTAATTTGTGAAATAAAACTGGAATTTGATATTTAGAGAAATTTGATTGAACTGATTATTTTTTTTCACTGTAATGCGTCATTTTTCTTATCGGGCAAATTTACATGCGTTGCAGTCTACACGTCATCAAACAAAACCTTTTGTGCTTCCAAGTCATCATGCGTTCATTCCAAAATGTGTACATTACAAAATGTGTCCGCATCTAGCAATGCTTGTTCTTCTTGCTATGTGAACAAGATGGCGCATATTAAATGTACCATGAAAGTGCTTATTCCTCAGGGTTTTTTTTATCAACGAACAATACACACAATATTCCATGCGACATGGCGTAAGAATCCCCGTCGCCTGATTCGTCAGTTTGTGAGTTGTTGATCACACGTCATTGAATTAAACATGCAAAATCCGGTTGTACCACAAAAATTGGAAAGTTCAATCCATGGTAAAATAATAGAGTTCCATTAAAATTGGTCATGTTCATCTTCCAGTGCGGATGTTGTGTCCAACCATCTTGACAGGGAAAATGGGTAAATCACTCTGCGTACTTGACCTAGAGGGTATATTAAAGAAAAGAGAAAGGAGAGAAATATTATAATCAATCAATATACATACATGTACATTTACAGGGAAAGACCTAATATTAAATTAGGTTAGTCATTGCAAAAATGTTTTAAAAAAGACATGAATCTGGGACTGAGATTAAAGTGAGAATTATTTCCACTTTTGTTAGGAAATACTTAGAAAATTAATTTTCTTGATTCTTCACACTCATAGACTTTGTACACAACCGCTGAATTAAGTGGCGCCTGGATACTACATTCTTTCCTAATGCATAGCCTAGATGCACATGGGATGTATTTGTTTTGTACTTGATGCGACATGCAAAGTAACGGGTAGGAACCTATTGTCGACATCGGTCGCGATGCACCCACGTACGAACATATACGTAGTTCCGATTAGTAATACACACTGCATACACGAGTGACGTCATCCAAATCAGACGTTGCCGACCAAAATCATGCAATTTTCGCGTATATTTCGCATCAAAATATAAATCGCCCACAAAACCTGCAGAGATGGGAATAGTACGGTTCGAAAGCATAACTCTTCAAGAGTCCAGGAATCGACAAATTTTATCCAACAATATCCCGAGGTAGTCAGGATCACTCAAAACGTGCAGGTAGTGTTGAAAAAAAGGGTGTCTATACCTCATTTCGCAAGCCTAATTAATCACCTTTACAACAATATAATCACTAAAAAATGGTATCATTCGACGCCGAAAATAATATTCTTTCACTCACCCCTCCATGTTGGCCCAACACTGCCGCGAAAACGGGTTTCTCGTCGATCTTCCAGGGGCACTGCCGAACGCTCGCGAAACCTCGTGAATTCTCGAAGGTCCGAGACCGTACAACTCGCTGCAAATAAAACTTCGCTGTGTGCCTCATTATCGAGCACGCTGCGCGCTGACTGGCCACAATGACGCAGGTAAAGTTTGGGACAGCCAAATGAAAAAAAAAAAAAAAAAGAGCGGGAGCTTTTTTTTGTCATTGAGAATAAAGAGCGTAGGAAACACCTGAGTATGGAGTGTGTAGTCGGTCATGTTATTCAACAGCGCTGATGCGTAGGCTCTGTTGCATGCTGGGAGGCTTTTGATTGGTGGAGAGGTGTTACTGCGCCACGCTCAGGCAGGTGTGCTCTCCTGCTGTCCTCGGTTGGAGTTTTTTTCCTCGATTGTCCCGAATATTTTCCTTAGCTCGCTTGATGAGGTTTGAATTATGTCGAATTTTGCCCTGTTTTTAATGTACATTTTGTACAGCCCCGTGCAATTTTTTTAAGGAAATTTCACCAAAGTTCATCAAAAGCTTGATGAATATTAATCATACCCCAACCAAATATTCCCATTTTCCATGGAATAGGTAACGTCATTCATTTATAGACGGGTTTTTTTTTTGTGTGTGTGTGTGTGAGCAGCGTTCATTCAGTCCGCCCTAAATTGGCTTTCGTTTTTGACTTGTGGGGAAACTGGAACATGAAACTGAAATGTGAATCAAATTCTCTGAAAAAGTAGTTGGATGTTCAGATAAATGTAAAAATAGATTGTTAGTTCTGTGAATAGTGTACGTCCAGTATATTTCATGACAACAAGTATTTTTCTAGACTTTTTGATGATTTTTAATGGGACCCTTCTTGTTCAAAGTACTTGTTCAGTTTCAACACAACCTTCATTTGAAACGGGGTTTGTCTTAAAATCAGTTCCCATTGGCACCGTTTTCAACTTGAAATATTTACGCGATCAAGTTCTGGCGCAATAAAAAGCTGAAAAATGTTATCAACAAACCTGCCCACAGAAATGCCCGGAATTTTGAATTATGCCCATCTTTCTCTCATGCACATAAAAAAAGAGCAAATTGTAAACATCAAACCACATAAATCAGACCGTCTGGACTGAAAGTGTGCCACATTCTTCCGAGTTAAACTAATTCTTGCGTTCCGGCTAACCTCCATGTTATAAACCAGTGCTTTTTTCCTTGATTTCCTTAAGTTTTTTTCTGGAGCTGTTTCATTTTTTTGTGTGGTGTCTACATTGCCAATCCCCATCAATTTACAGCTCGGAGTTTGATTTCAAAGGGAACCAGCCAGGCCCCGAATTTGACCCCGGGGTAAGGGTCTGTTCTTTCATAACAGCTAGGATTTAGTGTAACTCAAGACTGCCATATCTATGGGGCCACTGGATAAGGTGGTCAGGCCCCCCTATAGATGCACTTGCTAACCGGACCATAACTCTGAGCACTATTTGGTGGAGAATAATTGAAAGGTTAAAATATGAGCACTTTTAGAACTTGTTTAACTAGGTGGCAATTTTGGGGACATTTTGTAAGGGTCAGAAAGTTCATAATGGATGTAAATGTCAGTGTTTAACCCATTAGCACTTGTACTACATTGTATTACCATGGAGGAATCACTGAAGAATCAATAAAACCATAGAGTGTTTAGGTGGTTTGCTAACAATCGTAGTAAAGTGTCTTGCCTAAGAACAGTGAGTAAAGGGTTAATGCTTCTTGCAGTGCCAGATAAGATACTGTGCCTAAAAATAGTAACATCATCACGCATTATTTGTACACAACCCCCCCCCAAAAAAAAAAGGTAGTTGAAAATCAGGCTCATAAATCGTGCATTTATTGCTTTGATGTTGGCAACTAGCTTATGATGTACAATTGTAAAATTGTAATACAAATCACCAAGGAAAAGTTATCTAAAGGTTGGAGTGCCAAGACAACTAGTGAACACCGTGATTTTTTTGTGGTGTAGTTTTGGTTTAACTGGGACGCTGCAAAACATCTGTACCAAGAAAGTGGACTGAGTCTTAGCAGACAGAGACAACCAAGCCCCAGACAGAAGGCCCGACAATAACAGCCAAAAGTCCAGTGTGGACAATTCATTGTTAAGCTATCAATTTTGCCCCAGTTGTTTACCATTTTTCTTCTGTGGCCGGTCATTTATCATGTGCGTGTATGCTGTGTCAATAATACATACTTCACAATGTCCATTGTTTATATATGATTGTAGTTGTGCGATCCCCCCCCCAAAAAAAAACACCCAAGAAATTCAATTCTGCAACTGATATTTATTTTCGCACTCTGAATGTAACTCACTTTTCTCTGTGTTTGTTCATTCAACCCTGAGTGTATTATGCAAGCCCTCACGCATGCATGCCTGATAAACCTCATACAGGAACTACATTTCTATTTCCTACCCCCCCCCCCCTTTTCTAAAGTAAAAAAAGTTTATCCATAGGTTTACATGGGCTCAGTGTCAGGGAGTAAACAAGCTCATTTAGTATGCGCACCTGTCCCTTCAGCTCGCGACCCCTTTCCATTCATTGGCCGGCCCAGCTTCATGCATTATTCAGTAGGCAGTGGAGGGGGATGGTGCTCTGCATGTGTTGTGTGTTGGTGAGCGGATTAGGTTCCATGGTTCAGGGTTTTTGTTTGCCTGTTGGGTACCTGTTTATAGCTCCATGGTAGGACCATAGGATGGTTTGGATGGACCACCACTGCTGATTGTGTGTTTGACAGTTGTAAAACAAGAGTGATTCCACCTGTAAAGGCACTGTCCATGTAACTGGGCTAACAGTGAATACAGTACATGATATAGTTGGGGATGAATGAATCCACTAATCTAAACTATGCTAACACCTAAACTTTGATTTGTGTTTTCAAAATACTTGTACATGGTCATTGTATAGATAGGCATACTTGTTGGTTTGAACCCTGTTTAGTACTAATTCATAGGCCAAGAACCAGTATTATTTAAGGAGAAGCTAAAAAAAGTGAATAAATTAGGAAGTAGAAAGTTCAAGCATAGAGCAAGGAAGCATCAAACTTGATGATTACTTTCTTTTTAAAGTTAATTCATATGTTTGTATTTTACTGAAATTATTATCAGACATGTAGTTGAATTAGTGGTAGTAGATCCTTAACCTGGAATCCAGTCATCTGGCCACTTTAAGAATACAGTTTCTTGTTAAACCCTATGCTTTACCGAGCTCGTTAGCAAATCTAATTTTCTACTTTGAACGGAATTTATTCTGAATGAAAAGCCCGATGAAGATTAATTAGATGCCTCTTGGTAATTTTTTATTATTTGTTGCCACATAATGAACATGGTGGAGCGAACCCTGATGGCGAACATGGTGCTTGTGTGCTAGGGCAAGACACTTTACTACAATTGCCTCTCTCCACCCAGGAGTATAAATGGGTACCTATGAGGGTAGAGACCAGAATGTGCTGATCTCGAGCTGCTGCAAAAAATGGACTCGTAGCCTGATGAGCAGGGGTAATAATTGCGCAGTGCTTTGAGGCCCTTTCCTGTGGTATAAAGCTCTATATAAGCACCCGCATTATTATAATAATACAGACACACACATTTTGCAGGGTTACATCCTGGTAACGATGCCATCATTTGATAATAATGACAAATGAGGAACCAGCTTTATGAATCATCTGACCTGATTTGAAAAACTCTCTTAAAATATGACAGATTGCCAACCAGTAATTCCTCCTGTTGAGCTTTTTTTCCCCCCGAGGCCCAATGCGTGGGAATAATTGAATCCTCACCCTCCCATGTATGAATTCTAATTCCTCTGTCTCGCCAAGCAACAATACACCCTCATTATCCCGGACGAAACCCTACAAGTCCTGAGCTTGTTGAACCGGCGAATACCGCGATAATAAGCCTCAACGAAAAAAGAAAGAAAAGAAGCTGGCCACAATGAAGAGATTAGGAATAACCCTTCTGTCTGCGGTGTATTAAAAACCCCAGGCACTCTTTACCATGGGACGTTGAGCTAGATTCGCGTGGGTCTTACGGCGAGATCTCTCTGCTTTGTGGTGCGGATTTGCTTTGGAGTGTTTCATGGCTGTTAGCTCTTAATATCATGGGTTCTTTATTTTTTGGGTTCCCAACTGTTGGATCCTGTTAAAGAAATACCCCTGATGGGTTGTTGGTTGTCTGCTTTGTCTGCACCTACGCTTTGTTATTTTACGTAAGATTAAGCACTAGTCCGGGTTGAGATATTTGACCTTCTGTTTCACAGTGTGAAATATTTGCGGTGTTATTCATTTGGTTCATTCGGTTCACGATGATAATTTTGTTTTGCTCTTGCAAACCATCAATCACTTGACAATGTTGAATAATCTCAATATTACTCATCCTATTAGGTTACAATGATGATTTAACAAAGCGAGTTGTCTGTGCAGACAGATGAAGGACTGTGTGAGAATAACAGTTGAAAAGTGTTGGGTCCTTTTGACACTTTCAGTTTTGTTCCTTTGCTTTTCCCTAATGTGTTCGTTCCCCAAACAAGCCACAGTTACCTGACAATTTTTGGTTGTACAAATAAAGTGGAAGTTGTCCAATTTCTACAATGTCCGTCACATGATCACAACTCAGCTTGTAAATTGAGTTCATCACATTTTTTTTGGTGGGGGGGGGGAACTGTGCAAGGGTTTGTTCCTAGGAAGAGGGGAACAGTAAATAAGTGGGGAATTTGAGGGAAAACTTGGAAATGGTTGTGTGAAAAAAAATATCAAACATAAAATTTCTTTTCTGAAGTGATATCGAAGATACTTTGTCAAAAACTGCCCAGTGCATCAACTGAATTAAATTGTTGAAACACTGATTATTGGAAATTGCATTCCAAGTCAAACTACAGATGGGGACTGTAGAACTATTATTGGGCACATCCCCAATCAACTCAGATGCTTGAGGGTGATGGCTGTCCCTGTATACACGGTGTCCAGTTAAAATACCTAGTCTGCTCCCCAAGTTCCTTATAGTTGTGGCACATCTCTTGATGGTATGGGCTCCTTGCACAAGTACCCCCTCAACGGTAAGGAGAGGGAGAGTTTGGGGAGACCTGATGGAGACGCCTGATGCTCACACGAAGACACTACGTGGCTTTGTGCACATCGGTCGTGCATACTCTGTGCTGTACTCACGTGAACAAGTATGCTTGGGCTCTCCGAAGTGGGAAAAAACTGCCCTGTTGTTGCCGCTCAGATCCCGTACAACCTCCACCAAAAAGGACCGAATACTGAGGAATCCTCAGGTCTGACCAATGTTTACTTTTTATTCCTAGATGTCCCGACACTCACTTCGGCGCTAGCTGCGAGTATGACAACCCTTGCCGCCACAATCGTTGCCTGAACGGAGGCACCTGCCAAATAGTGGAGCCTACAGATGGCGATTCCCAGCCCACTTTCTCCTGCCTGTGCGACGTGGGCTGGACCAACTCCCTGTGTGAGCTGGAGTTGGCCAACGTCTGCAGGGACGAGCAGCCCTGCCAGAACGGCGGCCGCTGCAACCTGCGGGGCTCGGTGGACGACTACACCTGTGCATGCAGTGAGGGCTTTACAGGTGTGTGTTTTTAGTTCTCCCTGCAATGCCTAAATATCTCAGGCTGTGTTCGCAAAACGGTATTTTGTGGCTCTGGCCATGGTTTTTCATAGCCGTGACCGTAACTATAACCATGTGCCTGTAGTGAGGGCTTTACAGGAGGGTTCTTTAGCAGGCCCCACACTGCCCAGACATCTCAGGCTGTGCCTAGATATGGCTACGTTTATGCCATTTGTGCACTACGGTGAATGGCTGTAGCCATTGAAAACAATTCCCACTTAAGCCACAGCCTCACTCAGATACAGAGTCAGTGAACAGCCAGCACGTTATTATCCCTTTGACCTTTGATCTGCTATCAACTGAATTCAGTGTTTTATTTTCACATGTACAGTACAAATTCAATGCCACTCCCCAGCCTGCCTTTGTGGCGTAGGTGAAATCAAGTCCTCCCCTGTGATTAACACTGTTAAAATCTTTTGATGGTGTTAAGGCGAAATGAAACACTGTTTTCAACGTTTCTTCCCGCTTGTAGGAAGAAACTGTACCATGACTGACCACTGCGTGGGGAACCCTTGCAAGAACGGGGCCACCTGCAACTCACACGCCACAGGCTACAACTGCAGCTGCACCATCTACTACCGGGGCACGCACTGCGACATCGACATCAACGAGTGCACGGCCGAGGTGACGGCCTGCCACAACGGCGGCACCTGCGGGAATCTGGTTGGCTCTTTCATCTGTACCTGCTCGCAGGGCTACACGGGTCGGCGCTGCGAGTCCATCTATACCCCATGCCGGCCCAATCCCTGCCGGAACGGGGGCGAGTGCAACCCATTGGGCATGTACTCCCATGAGTGCATCTGTCCTGCAGGTAAGTTTAGTGAACGATTTCCATTTTTTATAATCTTCTATGCTGTGCATGTGTGTAGTGAAAGTACATGTAAAATGGAGACGAGTGCTGCTTGAATTCCATTGCCGCTGTATGCAGAACACCCTTAACAATACTTGAAACGACAGAAACACGACATTGCGTGAAAAAAAGAGATGTAATACCGTTGTGTATATTTTAGTTGTTTATTTATTTTTGGTATAAATTTTGAACAGGTATTTTTCCATTTCCTTTCCATAAGATGATTTGAGTTGGGATCATTTTGGTTAGTCAGACCGTCTTCACATTTTTTGATAAATCCTGATTTGGTTGTGCTTTGCTTTTGGAAGGTTACACTGGGACTCAGTGCGAAACCAACATCGACGATTGCATCATGCATCAGTGCACGAATGGAGGATTATGCATCGATGGTATTGACTCCTACACCTGCAGTTGCGCCCCGGAATACACAGGTAAGCCCTGCCCCCCACCAACCAACCCCTGATCTACAAGGTTTTAAATCGCTGAAGAACACGATCAGTGAGAAGACAACAATAACTTGAGCCTCTGGTTATAACTTGAGCTTCCTCTCAAAAGTTTTTAGTTAACCTGTTGACACCTTGTACACACCATGTGTTGAACTTGATCTCGGCTGCTTTACACGGCCTGTCGTGGTTACAAATATCGCTCCGTGGCAGGGCCTTGGAATGTTTGGGTGAGAAGTATGGTACAAATATTGAACAAATGACTCTCCAGAGTCAGTATCTGTGGTGTTTGGCTTCATTTTAAACTTGGCCCGACATAGTTTGAAAAATGGTGTTTTTTGGCCAAAAGTAATCCCGCCCTGTTTACATGTACCGTACGTCTACTCAGTCTAGATTGACCCCACCTGGTCCGATTTGGTTGTTTCTTCTCCCACACAGGCGAGCTTTGCACAGACGACGTGGACGAGTGCACGCTGCAGCCAAACCTGTGCAGGAATGGCGCCACCTGCCGCAACAACGCCCCAGGCTACCAGTGCATGTGCGTCTACGGCTTTGAGGGGGATCACTGCGAGCACGATGTGGACGCCTGTGAAACGACTCCTTGCGAAAATGGCGCCACATGTGAAGATGCCGTGGCCAGCTTCAGGTGCATCTGTGCTGCTGGCTACACTGGTAAGACCACTGGAGTTCTCTCTTCGTCAAAAAAAAAAACAGATCAGGAAAACATTCTGTCATTTTAGCAGCATTGTAAAGAGAAGTGGGAGGGGAGCATGAGCTTCTTCTCCTTTTAAGAAGCGATCAGCAAAATGTGGTTATAAAAGTTATTTTCAATGTATACCGGTTTACAACTTACGTAAGACTTTGTTGATGAAGTTTTAAAAGCTTTGGTGAAAGAGTTTTAATGAGGTTCATATTGCTATCTAAACCTAGTCATTTGAAACCTTAGACAGCATGCCTCCAAAAATGTGGCTTAACATCTTTTTTTATAGAACTAAGAAAGGTTTCTGGTAAAAGTGCATTGGTCATTAGGGTTAAAGAAGTTCTGATTGTAACCCTTCAGGATTGTATTGTCATCTTGAGGATGCCTGCATCAGCAGCCCCTGTGCTGCCTCATCCACCTGTGACACCAACCCTGGCACCGGTGACGCTGTCTGTCACTGTCCCGGCGGTCTTACAGGGAGCGACTGCTCAATTGATATCGACGAGTGCGAGTATGGTGAGTCAACATAGTTGTGTTTGTAACACTTCTCAGGTGGCCTATTGGAACTAGGTGAAACCTCACATTGGCTTTCCAAAGTAGAACCTCACAGCGATTACATGGAAACCTCGCACTGAACTAAGCTTCATAGTGACTATTTGGAATCATCACCGTTATCTCATTGAGGAACCTCACAGATGACATTTATATAACGGTAACCCGAGCTCACATCTGACCACATTGGAATCTTGAAGTGAACATTTGGGAACCACACACAGTGAACATTTAGGAACCTCAGGGTGACCATTTAGGAACCACGTTGACCATTAAGGAACCTCACAGTAACCATTTGGGAACCTCACAGTGACCATGGTCCACTAACAGTGACCATTTGGTAACCTCGCAGTGACTATTTGGATTTCCATTTTTTATAATCTTCTATGCTGAGCATGTGTGTAGTGAAAGTACATGTAAAATGGAGACGAGTGCTGCTTGAATTCCATTGCCGCTGTATGCAGAACACCCTTAACAATACTTGAAACGACAGAAACACGACATTGCGTGAAAAAAAGAGATGTAATACCGTTGTGTATATTTTAGTTGTTTATTTATTTTTGGTATAAATTTTGAACAGGTATTTTTCCATTTCCTTTCCATAAGATGATTTGAGTTGGGATCATTTTGGTTAGTCAGACCGTCTTCACATTTTTTGATAAATCCTGATTTGGTTGTGCTTTGCTTTTGGAAGGTTACACTGGGACTCAGTGCGAAACCAACATCGACGATTGCATCATGCATCAGTGCACGAATGGAGGATTATGCATCGATGGTATTGACTCCTACACCTGCAGTTGCGCCCCGGAATACACAGGTAAGCCCTGCCCCCACCAACCAACCCCTGATCTACAAGGTTTTAAATCGCTGAAGAACACGATCAGTGAGAAGACAACAATAACTTGAGCCTCTGGTTATAACTTGAGCTTCCTCTCAAAAGTTTTTAGTTAACCTGTTGACACCTTGTACACACCATGTGTTGAACTTGATCTCGGCTGCTTTACACGGCCTGTCGTGGTTACAAATATCGCTCCGTGGCAGGGCCTTGGAATGTTTGGGTGAGAAGTATGGTACAAATATTGAACAAATGACTCTCCAGAGTCAGTATCTGTGGTGTTTGGCTTCATTTTAAACTTGGCCCGACATAGTTTGAAAAATGGTGTTTTTTGGCCAAAAGTAATCCCGCCCTGTTTACATGTACCGTACGTCTACTCAGTCTAGATTGACCCCACCTGGTCCGATTTGGTTGTTTCTTCTCCCACACAGGCGAGCTTTGCACAGACGACGTGGACGAGTGCACGCTGCAGCCAAACCTGTGCAGGAATGGCGCCACCTGCCGCAACAACGCCCCAGGCTACCAGTGCATGTGCGTCTACGGCTTTGAGGGGGATCACTGCGAGCACGATGTGGACGCCTGTGAAACGACTCCTTGCGAAAATGGCGCCACATGTGAAGATGCCGTGGCCAGCTTCAGGTGCATCTGTGCTGCTGGCTACACTGGTAAGACCACTGGAGTTCTCTCTTCGTCAAAAAAAAAAAACAGATCAGGAAAACATTCTGTCATTTTAGCAGCATTGTAAAGAGAAGTGGGAGGGGAGCATGAGCTTCTTCTCCTTTTAAGAAGCGATCAGCAAAATGTGGTTATAAAAGTTATTTTCAATGTATACCGGTTTACAACTTACGTAAGACTTTGTTGATGAAGTTTTAAAAGCTTTGGTGAAAGAGTTTTAATGAGGTTCATATTGCTATCTAAACCTAGTCATTTGAAACCTTAGACAGCATGCCTCCAAAAATGTGGCTTAACATCTTTTTTTATAGAACTAAGAAAGGTTTCTGGTAAAAGTGCATTGGTCATTAGGGTTAAAGAAGTTCTGATTGTAACCCTTCAGGATTGTATTGTCATCTTGAGGATGCCTGCATCAGCAGCCCCTGTGCTGCCTCATCCACCTGTGACACCAACCCTGGCACCGGTGACGCTGTCTGTCACTGTCCCGGCGGTCTTACAGGGAGCGACTGCTCAATTGATATCGACGAGTGCGAGTATGGTGAGTCAACATAGTTGTGTTTGTAACACTTCTCAGGTGGCCTATTGGAACTAGGTGAAACCTCACATTGGCTTTCCAAAGTAGAACCTCACAGCGATTACATGGAAACCTCGCACTGAACTAAGCTTCATAGTGACTATTTGGAATCATCACCGTTATCTCATTGAGGAACCTCACAGATGACATTTATATAACGGTAACCCGAGCTCACATCTGACCACATTGGAATCTTGAAGTGAACATTTGGGAACCACACACAGTGAACATTTAGGAACCTCAGGGTGACCATTTAGGAACCACGTTGACCATTAAGGAACCTCACAGTAACCATTTGGGAACCTCACAGTGACCATGGTCCACTAACAGTGACCATTTGGTAACCTCGCAGTGACTATTTGGATTTCCATTTTTTATAATCTTCTATGCTGAGCATGTGTGTAGTGAAAGTACATGTAAAATGGAGACGAGTGCTGCTTGAATTCCATTGCCGCTGTATGCAGAACACCCTTAACAATACTTGAAACGACAGAAACACGACATTGCGTGAAAAAAAGAGATGTAATACCGTTGTGTATATTTTAGTTGTTTATTTATTTTTGGTATAAATTTTGAACAGGTATTTTTCCATTTCCTTTCCATAAGATGATTTGAGTTGGGATCATTTTGGTTAGTCAGACCGTCTTCACATTTTTTGATAAATCCTGATTTGGTTGTGCTTTGCTTTTGGAAGGTTACACTGGGACTCAGTGCGAAACCAACATCGACGATTGCATCATGCATCAGTGCACGAATGGAGGATTATGCATCGATGGTATTGACTCCTACACCTGCAGTTGCGCCCCGGAATACACAGGTAAGCCCTGCCCCCCACCAACCAACCCCTGATCTACAAGGTTTTAAATCGCTGAAGAACACGATCAGTGAGAAGACAACAATAACTTGAGCCTCTGGTTATAACTTGAGCTTCCTCTCAAAAGTTTTTAGTTAACCTGTTGACACCTTGTACACACCATGTGTTGAACTTGATCTCGGCTGCTTTACACGGCCTGTCGTGGTTACAAATATCGCTCCGTGGCAGGGCCTTGGAATGTTTGGGTGAGAAGTATGGTACAAATATTGAACAAATGACTCTCCAGAGTCAGTATCTGTGGTGTTTGGCTTCATTTTAAACTTGGCCCGACATAGTTTGAAAAATGGTGTTTTTTGGCCAAAAGTAATCCCGCCCTGTTTACATGTACCGTACGTCTACTCAGTCTAGATTGACCCCACCTGGTCCGATTTGGTTGTTTCTTCTCCCACACAGGCGAGCTTTGCACAGACGACGTGGACGAGTGCACGCTGCAGCCAAACCTGTGCAGGAATGGCGCCACCTGCCGCAACAACGCCCCAGGCTACCAGTGCATGTGCGTCTACGGCTTTGAGGGGGATCACTGCGAGCACGATGTGGACGCCTGTGAAACGACTCCTTGCGAAAATGGCGCCACATGTGAAGATGCCGTGGCCAGCTTCAGGTGCATCTGTGCTGCTGGCTACACTGGTAAGACCACTGGAGTTCTCTCTTCGTCAAAAAAAAAAACAGATCAGGAAAACATTCTGTCATTTTAGCAGCATTGTAAAGAGAAGTGGGAGGGGAGCATGAGCTTCTTCTCCTTTTAAGAAGCGATCAGCAAAATGTGGTTATAAAAGTTATTTTCAATGTATACCGGTTTACAACTTACGTAAGACTTTGTTGATGAAGTTTTAAAAGCTTTGGTGAAAGAGTTTTAATGAGGTTCATATTGCTATCTAAACCTAGTCATTTGAAACCTTAGACAGCATGCCTCCAAAAATGTGGCTTAACATCTTTTTTTATAGAACTAAGAAAGGTTTCTGGTAAAAGTGCATTGGTCATTAGGGTTAAAGAAGTTCTGATTGTAACCCTTCAGGATTGTATTGTCATCTTGAGGATGCCTGCATCAGCAGCCCCTGTGCTGCCTCATCCACCTGTGACACCAACCCTGGCACCGGTGACGCTGTCTGTCACTGTCCCGGCGGTCTTACAGGGAGCGACTGCTCAATTGATATCGACGAGTGCGAGTATGGTGAGTCAACATAGTTGTGTTTGTAACACTTCTCAGGTGGCCTATTGGAACTAGGTGAAACCTCACATTGGCTTTCCAAAGTAGAACCTCACAGCGATTACATGGAAACCTCGCACTGAACTAAGCTTCATAGTGACTATTTGGAATCATCACCGTTATCTCATTGAGGAACCTCACAGATGACATTTATATAACGGTAACCCGAGCTCACATCTGACCACATTGGAATCTTGAAGTGAACATTTGGGAACCACACACAGTGAACATTTAGGAACCTCAGGGTGACCATTTAGGAACCACGTTGACCATTAAGGAACCTCACAGTAACCATTTGGGAACCTCACAGTGACCATGGTCCACTAACAGTGACCATTTGGTAACCTCGCAGTGACTATTTGGAAACCCAACAGTGACCATTTTGGTACCCCACAGTGACCATTTTTGAACCTCACAGTGACCATTTTGTGAGCCTTAAAGTAACCTCGCCTAAACCTCAAAATCACATACCTTTGACTAAAGTACTTAACATATTTCAAAATCACCACAGCAAAAGCCGTCTCTCCAGAGGAGCGGTTTGAATGCGCTTCCTCCCCTAAAAAAAGTATGTACTGAGGGTTTTAAACTAAGGAATTTTTTTTGTTTTCTCCACAGATCCCTGCGAAAGTGGACATGGCAGTGAGTGCGTCAATACCGTGGGAGCTTTTTACTGCAACTGCGCACCCGGTTACAGCGGGTTGCGCTGTGAGGTGGACATCGACGAGTGTGCATCCACTCCTTGCGTCAATGGGGGCACCTGCCTCAACCTGGCCGGGATGTTCAATTGCGTCTGTGTCAGAGGTGAGAAACTGAGGCAGAGACGAGCGAAGCAACTGTGGCAAATGTTCTGGATAGCTGACCTCATCTTTTTCATTGTATGAGTACATAAGCAAACTTAGTTTGGCCCAGATGGAAACATAATAGGAATGCTGCTTTCCTTATAAGCAACGGAAGGGGGGGTGAAACATTCTTCCACAACCATCGGCTTTCTTCCGTTGGGAATGTACTGACTTACTCAAAATGAGTGTTCAAAAACGAGCCAGAATATTCTGACTTTTGACATGCTGCTTTGAAGACTAAATCCTATACCACACTTTTAAGCCTTAGTCTGAAGAAAACTGTTTTTTTTCCTCTTTGAATTTCAGGACCAAGACCACATAGAACGTTGCACCTCGCAAGTTGAAATTAGTGTGATACGTCTTGCATTGACTTCAGCAGATACTCTTTTTTTTTTTTTTTACTTCTTCCAAATATCTGATTTTTTCCCTTTCTGATCTTGACCTTGCAGGCTACACAGGTGTCTACTGCGAAACCGACATCGATGAGTGCGCGAGTAACCCTTGCCTAAACGACGGTTTCTGCCTGAACAAGGTGGGCCGGTATCAGTGCAACTGTCTGGAAGGTTACACCGGGGCCCGCTGCGAGGGGAACATCAATGAGTGCCTCTCGGACCCCTGCCAGAACGGGGGAACGTGCCTAGACGGTGCCAATCAGTACACATGCAGCTGTCTACCAGGTAAGCATAGACATCTGCTTAGCACAGAAAAAAAACATCTGCTTATTTGCATGTTACCAGCTACAGAATCTCATCAGACGTGTATTGATTGCGGCTGCTTCTCAGCTGGTTGTTTTTTGTGTTTAGCACAGTAATTTTGCGAATGACAGTTTTAGCTTACCTCCTGGGAAAATCCGGCAGAGGTTGATTTGGCATCAGAATCGTCAAGTATGAGTTGTTAGATCAGCCTCCTTAGCTGACTAATACTAATGGATGAATACTTGCAAGCTTTGGGTTTTTTTTTTACCCAGGAACCCGGTTAGTGGGTCTCCTAAGAGGCATTCTGTAAGAATGTCATTTACGTATCTGGCGTAGACATTTTTTTTGGGCAATAACTCATTATCCATCCCTGATGAAACAAAAACGCACTGCTAGGGATGCAACTGCTACCTTTGAGAATTCCCAGCCAAGGTTATGCATGTGTTTTTTTTTTCTCCCCTGTCCTGCAGGCTACACTGGCGTGGACTGCGAGACTGACTACGACGATTGCCAGCACGACTCCTGCTTCAACGGCCGCTGCCAGGATGCCCTCAACGGCTTCACCTGCATCTGCAACTTGGGCTACGAGGGCCGGCTGTGCGAGAACCAGATTGACGAGTGCCTGGACGAGCCCTGCCAGAACGGCGGGACCTGCATCGGCCTGGTTGGGGCCTACCAGTGCGTCTGTGCCCCAGGGACCACTGGTAAGATCACTGAAAAAAACAAAACCTTGGTGTAATATGAAGCAAGTTCCATTGAGGAGCATAGGTCGTCTAGTGGTTGTTTCGTGACACACCTTCCGCCTGCACAAAGCACAGTCAGCAAAGACTCCGATGGAAGCAATTTGTAGCGTGCTCCATATATATTTTGGGGAAGGCCGTGAAATGCCAGACGCTTTGAAAAACAATAAAGCCAAATCTTCCCCTATTCATGAATTGCCAGTTTGGAAGTGTTTGGATTTTGGAAGGCAAAGTAATGTGAGGAGGAGTGCAACAAATGTTGTGAATAATTGAATTGCTTACAAATTTCATTTCTCACAAAATTAATCACTTATGTTTTGTTACAGGTGCCACTTGTTCCATAAACACTTACGAGTGCTCATCCAACCCATGTCAGAATGGCGGATTGTGTAACGATTTAATCAACGGATATGAATGCGAGTGTCTGGCAGGTTATGAGGGACTACTCTGTGAGGTCAACATAGACGAGTGTGCCTCCAACCCTTGCGCCAACGGGGGCACCTGCCACGACGACATCAACAAGTTCATCTGCACCTGCCCCTCGGGCTACCACGACGCCCTCTGCTTTTCAAGCATTAACGAGTGTGAGAGCTCGCCCTGCGAAAACGGCGGCACCTGCCAGGACGGCGTCAATGAGTACGCCTGCGAGTGCGTGCGGGGCTACGGCGGGCCCCGCTGCAATGCCGACATCGACGAGTGCGCCTCCAACCCCTGTCAGCACGGCGGCCGCTGCGCCAGCGGCCTGGACTACTACGTCTGCGAGTGTCCCGAGGGCTACGCGGGCACCAACTGCGAGAGCAACGTCGACGACTGCGTGGGGTACCCTTGCCGCAACAACGGGACCTGCATCGACGCGGTCAACTCGTTTGAGTGCGTCTGCATCCCGCCGTATACCGGGGAGGTTTGCGAGGACCTGCTGCAACCTTGCGAGAACCACCGATGTGAGAACGGTGCTACATGCGAACCGTTCCCCAGTTACAATGGATACTCCTGCAGCTGTCCAAATGGCTACACAGGTAAACAGAACCGTTACTCTAGCCAGGGTACTCACTACTGTACTCTATGGCACCTGAGTACGCAACAGCTGTGGTAACTTGTTGTGTAGAAACTACAACATTGTGCAATCAGCACTGTACAACCTCACCTTACTACAGCACTTCAAATTTGGACTAGTTGGTGCAAAACAAAACATTTCCGTTATTCTGGGGTCTGGATATGCCAACAATTAAAGTGCAAGCTAAAAGGAGTGTGTTTTTATGTGGATATGGTTTCAAATACGGAAAGAATATAGTATTCAAATGCCACTTCTTTGGTTGTATACAAGGTCTACGAAGACTCAAGTGCATTTGCAAAGTATTTTCGAAATTGGAAATGTTCCTCAGTCCTAAATTCATGTCTTTCAAACTTTGTTTGCAATGACTGACCTTCACCGAGATAATACATGATGAAAAAAAGTGGCGTCAGGATCCAACATTCTTTCCTCAATTAGGGTAAAAAAAAAATTTGAAACTCTGTGACCTTTTTTCATTTTGCGCCCTGTTTTCTAGATGTCAAATTTCAAAATCAATTATCCCATACATACATACAGGTGAATTCTGCAACCGAGATATTGACGAGTGCGGTGAGTACCCGCCCTGCCACAACGGTGCAATCTGCAACAACACCTTTGGTTCCTATGAGTGCATCTGCCCCCCAGGATTCGGCGGCCAGGACTGCATAACCAACATCGATGAATGCGAGTCTGGTGAGTTTAACCCTAACTCCCTAGCGTCTTTTATTAGGAACTGGACCAATTCCATCAAAATCCATCAATCACTGTGCGTCCAATACAAAACTGTACATGACAGAATGAAATCCACCACTGATGCACTGGTTGACATTCATGGACTTGCTACACATGGCTTTTATCACAATAGCAGTACAGGAAGCTAGGCAAAATCTATCGGATACCCCTAGCTCTACTTCAGGCCATTAGGCCCAAGTCCATCATACTCCATCAATATTTACTCATGCCAGGCCTTCTGGACCAAGTCCCCCAAATCCACCAAAATGGGGGGATGGATTTTGATGGATTTGGGGTGGTTAGGGTTAATGCAAAAAAACTTTTTGCAACCTACAGATTGATGCACTACGTTATGGAACCGTTTTGGTGAAGTTGTGTGTTTGTATTGCAAAAACGGAGAACGGAAAAGCAGCTTGCCCCTCATGGCATGCAGCTTTCTATAGGAGAGATTCGGAACAGATTGATCATTACCTAATATTCCTCTTCCCTTACAAAAAAACAGAGGGCAGGCTAGAGTTGAAACAGGTGTGAACCCCAACAACTTTTCCAATGTGTGAAATTATTAAAGTAACTCGGAATTTTACATGTTTAGCAAAGTCATCAATGTGCATTAATTTTCCCAGTGCAATAGCGCAATATACTCAGCAGTCAAGTCAACTTTTTTTGAGATACGGCGCACACAATAAGCGGGCGTTACTTGGAATGGGTACACTTGGGTAAATAAAAGAGTTTACCAGCTCAAAATAGTGCCCTCAATTTCTCCAGAAGGCCAGTGCCTACTTTGGAGCACTTAGTTAGTCAGATTTTTGTCATTTAAACTTCCTTAGTTTTGTACGAGTCAATTTATGCATTCAATTTTTCTTTTCTCCCAGACCCTTGCCAGAACGGCGCGGCCTGCTTTGACAAGACCAACGACTACACCTGCGCGTGCCTGCCGGGCTTTACGGGCAAGAACTGCGAGACGGACACAGACGAGTGTGAGTCCAACCCGTGCCGGAACGGCGCCACCTGCCATGACTACGTCTCCAGCTTCACCTGCGCCTGCACGCTGGGATACAGCGGAGTCTACTGCCAGACCAACGACATGGACTGTACTGAGAGGTAAACTGGGGAACCAGACTAGATAGCACAAATGGGGTTTTGGGGGGGGGAGAGGGGCTTTAGAAGTTTGCAGATGTGAAGTGACTAAGTCTGGAAAAAAAATTGAAAAGAATCAAGAGGAAATGTGGTTTAACCTATTAGCACCTGTATTATAACCTATTATAATAACCTTGAAAATTGTTCACATCGTACATTGCATAGTTGTGTGTTTTTAAAATATTGGTTTGCTTTTTCGAAACAAAAATTGAAAGGTTGAGAATTTATTCCCCTGTATTAGACCGCCGGGCGTCCGTTCGTATCGTTCAGTCTTGTTCTCTGAAGCAGAGGGGGGGCACGATATAACTTTCCCAAGCAAGTTGACAGTTCCATAATTATTATTTTTGTTGATCCCGCATTCATAGGTCGCGTATAATGAGTAATTTTGACCATAAAAAGAGCACTATTTAGTGCGGAATAATATAAACCCGATCCAGTCGTGCATGCGTTTGTCCAATGAAATCATGTTTCTCGTACAACGCGATCTGCTCCATTTTGTGCTTGGCGTTCATTGGATACCAAAATTCAGGATGAAATAGAAAACGATTTTGTAGCCAATGAAAATGGCTGTTATGGCCACACGCGGGACGTCGAAATCAGTGGCAACGTAACGTCGATTTATCAACAAACGTACGTGTGCGTGTGTATAGTACATGTAGTATAGTACGTGGCCGGCCGGTTAACCAGTGGCAATATGGCCGACACGCGGAACGAAAATGAAACAGAATCGATCAAATTAAAATGCTATGCACATTTATCTCATGTTTTTGACGACGTCAAACCAATAACCGAGACATCGTGGAGGAAGTTCTTAGAAAGTGTGCAAATTTGGAAAGATTTGAGCGGGAACTCGGCTGAAATAGCGAAGGCTTTCGTAGCAGATCACGATGATGATGGCAGCGACATGCTACCTGGTGGTTCCGGAATCGCGATGCCCAAAGACGGTGGTTTTCATCGCAAATGCTACCAGTATTTCACCGATTCAACAAAGCAGAAACGGGCTGTCCGTGCCAAGCAGAAACAAGAAGCTAACCCACAAGCCTTGTCAGCTGCAGGTAATAGCAAAGTTTTTTTATTGGTCCGATATTTATATCCTAACTTCATTCAATGTTCGTGTTCGTTCTGTGAGTGACCCCGAAGCTGTTCTTTGTTCATGTTCTTTCATGTCTTTGTTCATGTTCAATCTTCAATCTTCAATAGCGTACATCGTACATGTACAATGTAGGCCCCTACATCATTTTTTTTCCAAAATTTTTGGATGAAATTCCATATACGGACTCCACCTCAGGCCTTCTGCACAAACTTCAGGCCTTCTGTTCTGACAGAAAATGTCAAAGACAAAGTATTTTAAAAAAAATCTTTATTTTTTTGCCCTCCAACATTTTCATTTCTTCATCAGATTAACAACTTGTGGAACTTTTCAAATCATATTTAACTTAGCTAAGATAACGTTATAGCTGACTAATTTTAGGCCTAGGAATCAAGTATGCCCTATGCCTATATGAATATAAAATTTGTATCTTTATTTAAAGATATCAATTTCATATTCATGCAAACTGTGTTATCGGGTTTATCACCCATAGGGGAACCCCTGGCCATTTTTTTTTTGACACAAGCTTGCTTTTAAAAATTTGATATATTCGATGGCTATTGTTACGGCAGCTGCAAGGACACTATCAACTGCTATCGTTATGGAACTGTTTGGTTTCCTGACGTAATAGTATTCAATGTCACTGCCTTTGCAGATCACAGATGAAAAAATAACATTAACTTTGTTGGGAACCCTAAAGATTTGTAACAGTGTTATGGTCTTGCATCGGTGCTATGTGAATTTTAATAAGGGTTTGTCTTTCTACTTATTTACCCCTAATACATTTACATGTTTGGTCAGGTGCCTCATATTTTGTGACTGAAGTAAACATTGAAACATTTAAGGTTTAATTTTTGTTGTGTGTATTTTTTTCTTGTGAACAGATATCAACGCCAGTGCACAAATACAAGAGGGTGCTTCAGACACTGAGCCTGCTGAGAAGAAACCTCGAATCCTGCGTTCGGAGTCTGCTTTGGGGAAAAAAGGAGCTTCCAGATCTGCCCATGTACTTCCGAGGATGTGCATCATTTGTCGTCGTGCTCGGTACTCAACTAATCACGAAGGAAGGAGAAGTAAGCAGCCTCTAGTTCAGTGCGAGCTGATTGATGGCGGCAAGCTTTTGGAGGCTGCAAAAGTAAAAAGGGACGAGACCTTGCTTCTTCACATGGAAAATAGAGACTGTGTGGCAATTGAACTTAAATATCATGCCTCTTGCCATAAGGACTACACAAGGTTTCTTAGTAAACCGCAAGGTGTAACTGTTAATGTGCCATCAGCCCTGTACTCAACAGCTTTTGAGTCATTTTGCCGAGACGTAATCGATCACCGTGTCATTAATGACAAAGAAGTATGGCGAATGACTAAACTGAAGAGGGTCTTTGACAGAACTGTACGAGACATTGAAAATGAAGATTCGTCTTCTTATAAGACATGGAGTCTCAAACAACGGTTGAAAGAAACCTATCCCCAACTGTGCTTCTTAAAACCAAATAGACGGTATGAAAGCGAGTTTGTATACGTTGATAACTTGTCCTTTCTAAATGATTGTAAAATAGAGTTGGATTCCGAAAGCGACACTGACACAAGTACAAGTGAAGAAGAACAGAACCCCTCTACTCCCTCCAAAAGAAAGGCGAGCAAAATCCAATTCTCGACCAACCATCTTGTGAGTACCTTGCGAGACCGTTTCTCCACTGCCCTTGACATCAAAAGAGAAATAGAGCTGATGTCATCCGACAAACTGCCATGGCCTCCAACATCGTCAGACCTGACTCTGTATACTGCCCAGCAAATCATTCCTCCCAAGCTATTCAATTTCTTGGCTTGGGTTGCGGGCTGTTCAGATGTGCCTAAAGAAGATGAGTTTGTTGAAGTAGGTGAAGGAGAAACCAGAAGAATTCTGACACTTGCCCAAGATGTCATCTACTTGGCAACAAAGGGGAGAAGAGCAATGCCAAAGCACATGTCCTTGGCAATGGCTGTACGACATATGACTGGCTCGGCACAGCTGATTGGACTGCTTAATGGTCTTGGCCACTGTGTCTCGCACACATCAGTTCTTGAGCACGACACTGCATTGGCCCAACAGGAAATCCAAAGAGGCAGCAATGCTTTACCATCGTGCCTAGTTAAAGGCACATTCACTACTTTGGTGTGGGATAATAATGATTTTGGAGAGGAGACATTGTCGGGTAAGGGTACCACCCATAACACAAATGGCATCGCAATTCAGCATTCAGAACCACAGACCTTCACAACAGATGTCAAGCAGTCCATGGCGAGGACAAGGAAACGTTCATTGCCAGCACCAGATGTAGATTTGGTAACATTTCGTGGTGCTAAAAAAGCCTCTCCAACTTCATTTGCCTTCGGGGTAGCCCTCGAAGAGGAGTATCATATGTCATTGATGGAACATCCTATGCGTAAAGATGCAGCATATTATCTCACAAAGATCCCACAAAAGCGTCTCCTCCCGGCATGGACTGGATTCAACCAGCTACTCAACAAAGAACTCCCACCAAAGGCTACAGTGGCGTACCTACCAGTGATTGATGCAAGTCCGACAGACCTGAACACGGTAAATACAATTCTACATAAGAGTGTGGAAATCGCCAATAAATTAGAGCTCCCATCCGTTGTGGTCGTAGTTGATCAAGCAATCTATGCAAAAGCACAAACCATCAGATGGCAGACTCCTCACTTCATGGACCGAATAGTGATCCGCCTGGGTGCCTTCCACACCACTATGACAGCCTTGGCTACCATCGGAAAAAGATTTTGTGATGCTGGTCTGCAAGATATACTCATAGAATCAGATGTTGTAGCACCGGGTTCCATGAATGGAGTAATTAATGGTCACCATTACAACAGGAGTATCCGTTGTCACAAGGTCATGGCAGAGGCACTCCATCGCTTACGCTGGCAAAGTTTCATAGAGGGGGTGTCTGAGGTAGATGCAGAGCAGTATGGTGACATGGTGCACAACCTTCATTCAACCTTTCCAGACCAGGAGTATGAAGATTTGGTTGAGAGCCCCACATTCCAGGGGATGATGATGGCTTATGATGATTTCATCAAGTCCCAGAGTAAAGATGCAACCTTTGCATTTTGGTCTTCATATCTCGAAATGGTTGAAAATGTGCTACTCTTTGTAAAGGCTACAAGAGATGGGGACTGGGCACTCCATCTTGCAGCTGTGCGAGCTCTTGTGCCATGGATGTTTTCGTATGACAGGACAAACTACTCCCGTTATCTACCGGTTTACTGGTTAGAGATGAAGAGTCTGGAGAAAACACATCCGTTTGTTCTCAACGAATTCCAGATTGGGAATTTTGCAGTGCAAAGGCAAGATGTCCATGGTTTCTCACGAGTTGCATGCGATATGACCATCGAACAAACAGCGAACAGAGATTCGAAAACAAGAGGGGGAATGAAAGGTTTCACCACCAACAAAGGTGCAAGCAATCGTTGGATAAGGGCTCACCACGAAAGAGCGGCAATAACAAGGCAGTGTGAAGAAATGGCAGGGAAAGGGCAAAAGATGGCGACTCGTAAAGACCTAACAAAGAGGCGCATGACCCGTGATGAGCAGGATGTACAGACCATAATGACCACCATATCCACCATGATTAACCCCTTTGACAATGATCCAGAAACTGATCCCACTGAGCTGATCCATTTGTCGTCTGGTGTCATTGCTTCACCTGAGGTTTGTACTGACCTGATGAAAGCTCACGAGAAGGGAAACGCTGCATTTGTGACCTATTGCAAAGACCGTTTACAAGGAGGTGAAACTGACTTGAACAAACCACTGAAAAGGATGAAGCTGAAGACATTCACAAATATGGCTAAAACTGTAGCAACGAAGGTAAAAGGGAAAGATGTAAGCACAAAGAGTGACAGAGAGCTACTGGCTAGACTCGTCATCGTTGGCAGGAGTCGCAACATTGATTTAAAGCACATGATGTCTTACTGTTTAGGCCCACTGCCATTGTCATTAGCTACACATGAAGGATGTCTGGTCAAAACTAACAAAGCCAAGTTGCTGCACTACCTGGAATCGGCACCAAAGGAAACACCCGTTGTGTCAGAGACACCAGGATGTGTGTGGATCATCGACGGACTGGCAATGCTTCAAAAAATGAGTCCCAAACACATGCCAGTGACCATGGGTGATCTTGCTTCGAAGATGCTTAGTCAGTTAGTGAACTTAGCATGCAACCATCAATCCAACAGTATCCACTTTGTCACAGACAGATACCCAGACATAAGCGTAAAAAATGCGGAAAGAAAACGTAGGGCAGCCACTGGGTCGCAAAAGATAAAGATTTCGAAGCCTTCGCAGCCAGTTCCAAAACAGTGGAAAAAGTATCTTGCAAATGGCTTCAATAAAGAGCAGTTGGTGGAATTTCTTTTCAACACTTGGAGAAACTGTGATGTGAAGAGCTTGAAAGGGGTAACTCTAACTGTAGCCCATGGTATGCTCTGCCATGCCATCTCAGCCAACAATGGAAATGTAGATGTAGAAGAGGTAACTGAGCTGCACTGTTCTCACGAAGAAGCTGACACCCGAATGTTTTTACATGCCAGCTACATTGCCAAGTCCTGCAACAGCGACATTGTCATCAAAAGCCCAGACACCGATGTGTTTGTAATTGGCATTGCTCTTTCCTCGAATCATATCAGTTCCAATCTATATTTCCGCACTGGAAAAGAAGAAAATGTTCGTACCATCGACCTACAGGCAATAAGGAGGCACCTTGGAGATCCTCTCTCTGAAGCACTCATTGGTTTCCATTGCTTCAGTGGTTGTGATTCTGTTAGTGCATTTTACGGCAAGGGGAAGATGAAGGCGATTAAACTTCTGGTGGAAAACCCTACATTGTGTGCTCAATTCCAGTTACTTGGAGAATCTTTCATGGTAACAGATGATCAGGTGACTGCACTCGAGATGTTTGTGTGCAAGCTGTATGCCCAGCACAGTTACAGCCGAGTCAACGAAGCCCGATGTGCCATGTTTTCCATGGCTACGAAGGCAGAAAATGTCATGCCACCTAATCGGGATGCCTTGCGCAAACACATCGAACGAGCAAACTTCCAAGCAGCCATTTACAAGCGCAGCCTAGCCCAACACCCCGACATTCCATCTCCAGTTGGACATGGCTGGAAGATGGTGGATGACACCTTGGGCATAGATTGGATGGACATGGAATCGGCTCAACAAAGTGTCCTTGAACTTACCAAGTGTGCATGCAGCAAATCAAAGTGCAAAGTTAGTGAAGCAGACGACAAATGTTGTGTGTCTTTAGGAATTCCCTGCACAGAACTGTGTACATGCAAGAAATGCGAAAACCTAACATATTCATTCGATAATGAAGACATTGAAGAAAGTGAAGGAGAGGATGATGACGGAGAGAATGGGGATGATGAAATTGAAGAGAACTTTGAGACTGAGATGGAACGTCCAGTTCATGCTACAGAGCCGTTCTCTTAGTTTGACAAATATTCCCACTTCCAAGCCTAGAATCTTACTAATTTTCCAAGCTGCATCGGTACTCGGTTTGCATTGACTCGCCTGAGGATGATGTCGAAACACGCTGATCGCTCGTACATTTTGTACATACAGTGGTCCTCGGGACTGTGTACACAAAGTTTGTGTAGTTTGTGTAAGCGGACCATGCTAATGACAGTTGCGTTGTCTGTAGTGCTTGCGTAGGTGTTCACCGCGTTATGGGGGAGAGTTTTATTATTAGGGACTGAGTTACAGGGAGTTCCTGCTGTCCCCATAGCGTTTTCGATCCCCACAAAATCGGTGAACTCACGAATGCTTGTCCTGTCAACTAGGGTGCCAGTATGTGTGATCTATTTATTGTACACTTTAACCATAAATTAGAATATATCAGCTGCTTGTCTGGTGATAAACACAATTTGTGTTTAGTGACGCTCATCTTATGTGTAGTGTCTCTCATGAAGCTTGTTTGCACAAATAATTGTTCTGCATGCATTGTACTGGAGTTTGTGTCATTTTTCAATACATGTACTTTCAAAATTATGGAACATTGTCTCTCTGTTTACCCTGTGTTAAACATTCAATTATATAAGCGTACAATTTTCAACGTATGTTTGAACATATTGTAGCTTTATGTTGAACAGATTTGAAATTTACATTTTTGTTATGTTCAGATATGTTCATGTATTGCCTGAAAAATTTAGGTATTTAAATTGTTGAATAAGGAAAGGAAAAAAAAAGGGACCATGAAAGAACAATCTTCAAGTAGTCATTTTACAATTTGGATGTATTTTTATTTTTATTTTTTACCAAAGAATTTCATGTACATGTATCAACTTAGTTACATCAAATTGACTTAACAAAAAGTACTCTTTAAATTGTAAAACTAGAAACAAATGTTGATACACATTTTCTGTGGATTTTAATACATTGATTCTGTTAATTGACCAATCCAGGATAGCAACCCCGCAATGTAACAAACTTTGTAGAGAACAAGTTGCTAGCTGATGCTCCAATGTAATTATAATTCAGCTTTAAATAATTTACATAGACACGAAGAGAAAATGGATCGCTACTAAAGTGCTATTAGGATTAAACAATTTTAAGGATTTTTAAAATTTTATTGTAACATGTATATGCACAGGATGAGAAATGTTTCCATTTAAAAAGTATACATGTATATGCACAATAGGCACTTTGAAAGAACTATACTCGTACATCATTGTTACAAATGGATGCGTTTATTATGATATTTTCAACCCAAAAAATTGTGTCCAACCGAGGTACCTAAAATGTGTCATACCGTATTATAGTTTTTACTGTACACAAGAAACAAATGTTGAGGTTCATATATTTGTGTGAATATTAAGACGTTGATTTTATTATTGTCCCACCAGGATAGCAACCCTGCAATGTAAAAAACTTTGTTAAAATTAATTTGCTGAGGCTAACATGTACTTATAATTGATTTTTTTAATTTACATAGACACAAAGAGAAAATGAATGGCTTGAATACTACAGTCATATTTGGATGAAACAATTTCAAGAAGTATTATTATTCTTTTATTGTAACATGTATGTGCACAGGATGAGAATTTTCTATTTAAAAAGTAAATGCAAAATACATGTAGACACTTTTAAAGAATAATACTCATACAGCATTGTAACAATTTGGATGCTATTATGATATTTTCAACCTAAGAAATTGTGTCCAACCGAGGATCATAAAATGTGCCTTATTACTGTTTTTAATGTACACAAGAAACAAATGTTTGAGGTTCATATATTTGTGTGGATATTAAGATATTGATTCTGTTAATTAATAGTGCCATCCAGGATAGCAACCTGCAATGTATCAAACGTTGCAAAAAATAATTTGCTGAGGTTCAAATGTAATTATAATTCAGCTTTTATTACATAGACACAGAGAGAAAATGGATTGCTTTTGTTTTTATTTGATTTTCAAGAATATCCAAGGAGTAGTTTTTTCTAAGACTTCATTACATGTACATGTGAACAACAAAGACTACATGTGTATTGTTTGTACAGTACCAGTACATACAGTAATTTTCTTTGTGTGTCAAGTTGATATGAAGAAATAAAACTGAAGTACATGTTAAGTTACCGCTGAGAGTTTTTCACTTTTTTGAGAGTTGCGTTAATTTCCTTTTGAATAAATATTCTTATTGGAATTAAGAATAATAGAATTCGCATAAATGAAAATAAATAGAATTCTCATGACAAATTTGGAAAAACAACATCCTTATATCAGTCTTTACTATTATACAAAACAAAATCATCACCTCCTTTAACATGAATATAACAGAAATCCCATTATATCCTGGCATTGGAGGCACAGTGTGCTGAGCCAATTATTACACCTTCTAAATCAATGGTCGAGTGAGGGCGCTGTTTTTCCTATGTTTTTCTTTATATTGAACAATGGGAAGATTTAATAAAGAATTACACAATACTGTGCGATGTGTGAACGTGGGATCAACTCAATCCTTGATTGCACACAAATTATCTACCATATAGGTCATATTTTGTGATCCCCCCAGACTTTGGAGAGCAAATATCAGTTTCTGTAAGGATTTCAGACTCATGCCCTACAGTCTAATGGTTTTATTATATGGCTATGGTATGCATAGACATAAAGAACTGGTTCCACTAAATAAGCATACCGCCCTCTGCCGTTGAACGGCTCTTCGCGATCGTACTGTACTGGTACCCGGAGAGCGGAGTACGCACGGGTACGGGTTTCAACGTAGCGCGTGTCGGGTACCAGCTGTATGTTTAGAGGAAGCCTGGGCTGCAGACATCTTCAGAAAATGCGACATTTGAAATACTGCACCAAGCTCCGCTCTGCAAAAGAAATGAGTATTTGTGAGTAACTGCGTAACTATAGAGCAAGAAATAGGAATTTGTAGGGGGAACTCGGGAGGGTAAAAATGGCAAATCACGAATTTAATAACCGGCCGTCTTCGCAGTTGTTTCCAGCAGCTCGGGCAATGAAGCAGACGAGCACGACCATGGCCACAGGTCTGGTACCTGGAGTCAACACCTTGACTTCCCCTGTGTCCAAGCAGAGGCAGGTCGAACGACCAATGGCAAGCACACCCACAGCACAAGTTGTTGGGGGAGTGTCGCGCATAGCCTCAGGGGGCCGTGCAAAGCCGGTTGTTGCCCCGCACAGTTTGACAGAGGAGCAGGTTTTGCAGCAGAAAGTGTTTGCTGCCCGCTTGCTGGGGTTACCAGTCGACGTAGCCAGCAAGATGGCTGCTAGTGGCAGAAATACCAGCAACAACCAGGGTGGGTTGGTGTCCTCCAGCACAACGCCGGCAGCGAGTGCAATAGGTAGATCTGCAGGACGTACACGTGCATCACTTACACCGCCACCGTTCCCCAGTGTGTTACAACAACAGCAGCAGCAGCAACAACAGCATCAGCAGATGCCAGGGAAGTTTACCACAGGTGCTGCATCGAGCGTTGTCTTACCAATAAGTAGTTTAGGCACAAATCCGCAGCAGCAGTTTCCTCCAGGTCAACAGCAGCAATTTCTGCAAGGTCAGCATCATCAGCAAGTTTTGCCACAACAGCAGCAGCAGCAACAGTTCCCCTCGGGCCAGCAACTGCAGTTTCCACACGGTGGACAGCAGCAGTTTGCTCAGGGGCCACAGCAGCAAGGCATCCAGCAGCAGCAGCAACAAGCAGGCTTCAACACGGCAAATGTTGCCAACAAGAGCTGGGTTGGAAACGCAAGCCAAAACAACGTGGGTAGTGTAAGGGGAGCTTTTGGGAAATCTCAACAAGCCCCACCATCCAGGTCAGGCAACACAGGGCCAGGTATTCTTGGGGCGTTCCCAGCTACTCAGAGTTTTGGTGCCCCTGTGATAAGCAATACAAATCAGCACACTTCATCTTATGGTGTTGGGCCAATGTCAATGGCAGTCACAACCACTTACTCGGCACCTGGCGTAGCTATGAGTTCAGTCTCATCTCAACCTCCTGCTGCAATGAGCTTGAAAACCCAGTTTTTCCCCAACATGAAGAAGAATCTTCAGGTTCTGTCCCCATTTGAGATGGAGAAACTTCGCAAGGCACTGCTGTCAGGGAAGACGGTTTCGCTGGGGCTGACATCGGCACAAACGCTGGATATCCTACAGACGATGAAGAGTATCAGCTCCAGTAGGATGGAGCCGTCAGCACGTACAAAGAAGACGTCAGATGGAGATTGGGTGGACCCCATCAGCACCAACTGGCCAGGAACGGCGGATGAAGAGTGGAAGGGCCCAGAGAAAGGAACGACACAGCCAACCGATAAACATCGCGGCCTGGGGGCTATTCTTGAAGTATTAAGGTCGGGTCAGAGTTCCGTTAGTGAAGACAAAAGAGGCGGGCAGTCAACGTCCACTCCCATCCAGGGAGGGAACACCTTTGGCCCCACCCCCATAGTGGGTCCAGGGGGCGGTTCCCTCACCATGGATTCAGGGCAAGTCATTTCTAGTATCAATGAGAACCTCAAGATGCTGCAGATGCAGAGGGAAAAGCTTCTCCAAGGTCAAGGCTCGGTGCCACAGAAATCAAGGGACGACTCAGATCAACATGTTAACCAGAGGAGAACCAGTGATAGCAAATGGGTAAGATGCTCAGGGTAAAGTCTGAGATAACTCAAGAAAACTATTTTTTAATTTTTTTGATAATTTGACCTTTTGACTTGTGATTGGTTGATCATGATTCCGCAGATTTGTATGCTTCTTTTTTTGAATTTTGAATTTTTTTAAGTGCTCGCTCTTTACCCATACAGTGAAACGTCGCTATAGCGAACATTGCGGGATCCACAGATATTAATCGTAATAGCGAACGTCTAGTATAGCGATGTATAAGCCGATACTTACCAGCTTGTGGCAGTGGTAGATTAAGACGGGTGCACACATGCACTGGTGCATGTACTTCTTCGCTGGTCATGTAAACCTCTGGTACAACATAGGCCTAATTACGTACCTGGTATATCGTTGAACAACACACACCCAATTTATTTGATTTAATAGTATGCAACGATCGACGTCAGCCCCTGCCAGCTGCGGAGCCTGCAGTACATTTACGTACAATTTAGCGCACAGCACAATGCCACTGATGCACGATGCACGATGCCACGTACGTGTACTAGCTGGCTTAAGGCCGTTGTAGTTCCAGCATCATCATCCGGCTATGGAAAACGTTGAAGTTTTGGGGGCATTTTGTAACAAATCAAAAAGTTTTCTTTTCTCACTGGATACTGAATGTAATGAGTTGAACTCTTCAGGGAATTCACTTCTGGCCTCTAGGCACCTCGTGTGAACTTTTGAGAAAATTTGGTCAAATTTGATTTTTGGGTGAAAAACTGACTTTTTCGATGATGCCGGCTATGGAAAACGTTGAAGTTTTGGGGGCATTTTGTACAAAATCAAAAAGTTGTCTTTTCACACTGGATACTGATTGTAATGAGTTGAACTCTTCAGGGAATTCATTTCTGGCCTCTAGGCATCTTGTGTGAACTTTTGAGCAAATTTGGTCGAGTTGGATTTTTGGGTGAAAAACTGACTTTTTCGATGATGCCGGCTATGGAAAACGTTGAAGTTTTGGGGGCATTTTGTAAAAAATCAAAAAGTTGTCTTTTCTCACTGGATACTGAATGTAATGACTTGAACTCTTCAGAAAATTCAATTCTAGCCTCTAGGCACCTCATGTGAACTTTTGAGCAAATTTGGTCAAGTTGGATTTTTGGGTGAAAAACTGACTTTTTCGATGATGCCGGCTATGGAAAACGTTGCAGTTTTGGGGGCATTTTGTAAAAAAATCAAAAAGTTGTCTTTTCTCACTGGATACTGAATGTAATGAGTTGAACTCTTCAGAAAATTCAATTCTGGCCTCTAGGCACCTCGTGTGAACTTTTGAGCAAATTTGGTTAAGTTTGATTTTTGGCTGGAAAACTGACTTTTTCGATGATGCCGGCTATGGAAAACGTTGAAGTTTTGAGGGCATTTTGTAAAAAATCAAAAAGTTGTCTTTTCTCACTGGATACTGAATGTAATGAGTTGATCTCTTCAGAAAATTCTATTCTGGCCTCTTGGCACCTCGTGTGAACTTTTGAGCAATTTTTGTCAACTTTGATTTTTGGGTGGAAAACTGACTTTTTTGATGATGCCGGCTATGGAAAACGTTGAAGTTTTGGGGGCATTTTGTAAAATATCAAAAAGTTGTCTTTTCTCACTGGATACTGAATGTAATGAGTTGAACTCTTCAAAAAATTCAATTCTGGCCCCTAGGCACCTCGTGTGAACTTTTAAGCAAATTTGGTCAAGTTTGATTTTTGGGTGGAAAACTGACTTTTTCGATGATGCCGGCTATGGAAAACGTTGAAGTTTTGGGGGCATTTTGTACAAAATCAAAAAGTTGTCTTTTCACACTGGATACTGATTGTAATGAGTTGAACTCTTCAGGGAATTCATTTCTGGCCTCTAGGCATCTCGTGTGAACTTTTGAGCAAATTTGGTCAAGTTGGATTTTTGGGTGAAAAACTGACTTTTTCGATGATGCCGGCTATGGAAAACGTTGCAGTTTTGGGGGCATTTTGTAAAAAAATCAAAAGTTGTCTTTTCTCACTGGATACTGAATGTAATGAGTTGAACTCTTCAGAAAATTCAATTCTGGCCTCTAGGCACCTCATGTGAACTTTTGAGCAAATTTGGTCAACTTTGATTTTTGGGTGAAAAACTGACTTTTTCGATGATGCCGGCTATCGAAAAAGTTGAAGTTTTGGGGGCATTTTATAAAAAATCAAAAAGTTGTCTTTTTTCACTGGATACTGAATGTAATGAGTTGAACTCTTCAGGGAATCAATTCTGGCCTCTAGGCACCTCATTTGAACTTTTGAGCAATTTTCGTCACTTTTGATTTTTGGGTGAAAAACTGACTTTTTCGATGATGCCGGCTATGGAAAACGTTGAAGTTTTGGGGCATTTTGTAAAAAATCAAAAGTTGTCTTTTCTCACTGGATACTGAATGTAATGAGTTGAACTCTCCAGAAAATTCAATTCTGGCCTCTAGGCACCTAGTGTGAACTTTTGAGCAATTTTCGTTAACTTTGATTTTTGGGTGAAAAACTGACTTTTTCGATGATGCCGGCTATGGAAAACGTTGAAGTTTTGGGGGCATTTTGTAAAATATCAAAAAGTTGTCTTTTCTCACTGGATACTGAATGAAATGAGTTGAACTCTTCAGAAAATTCAATTCTGGCCTCTGGGCATCTCGTGTGAACTTTTGAGCAAATTTGGTCAAGTTGGATATTTGGGTGAAAAACTGACTTTTTCGAAGATACCGGCTATGGAAAACGTTGAAGTTTTGGGGGCATTTTGTAAAAAATCAAAAAGTTGTCTTTTCTCACTGGATACTTAATGTAATGACTTGAACTCTTCAGAAAATTCAATTCTGGCCTCAAGGCCCCTCATGTGAACTTTTGAGCAAATTTGGTCAACTTTGATTTTTGGGTGAAAAACTGACTTTTTCGATGATGCCGGCTATCGAAAAAGTTGAAGTTTTGGGGGCATTTTATAAAAAATCAAAAAGTTGTCTTTTCTCACTGGATACTGAATGTAATGAGTTGAACTCTTCAGGGAATCAATTCTGGCCTCTAGGCACCTCATTTGAACTTTTGAGCAATTTTGGTCACTTTTGATTTTTGGGTGAAAAACTGACTTTTTCGATGATGCCGGCTATGGAAAACGTTGAAGTTTTGGGGGCTATTTTGTAAAAAATCAAAAAGTTGTCTTTTCTCACTGGATACTGAATGTAATGAGTTGAACTCTTCAGAAAATTCAATTCTGGCCTCTAGGCACCTCGTGTGACATTTTGAGCAAATTTGGTCAAGTTTGATTTTTGGGTGGAAAACTGACTTTTTCGATGATGCCGGCTATGGAAAAAGTTGAAGTTTTGGGGGCATTTTGTAAAAAATCAGAAAGTTGTCTTTTCTCACTGGATACTGAATGTAATGAGTTGAACTCTTCAGGGAATTCAATTCTGGCCTCTAGGCACCTCGTGTGAACTTTTGATCAATTTTCGTCAACTTTGATTTTTGGGTGAACAACTGACTTTTTCGATGATGCCGGCTATGGAAAACGTTGAAGTTTTGGGGGCATTTTGTAAAAAATCAAAAAGTTGTCTTTTCTCACTGGATACTGAATGAAATGAGTTGAACTCTTCAGAAAATTCAATTCTGGCCTCTGGGCATCTCGTGTGAACTTTTGAGCAAATTTGGTCAAGTTGGATTTTTGGGCAAAAACTGACTTTTTCGATGATGCCGGCTATGGAAAACGTTGAAGTTTTGGGGGCATTTTGTAAAAAATCAAAAAGTTGTCTTTTCTCACTGGATACTGAATGTAATGAGTTGAACTCTTCAGGGAATTCAATTCTGGCCTCTAGGCACCTCATTTGAACTTTTGAGCAATTTTCGTCACTTTTGATTTTTGGGTGAAAAACTGACTTTTTCGATGATGCCGGCTATGGAAAACGTTGAAGTTTTGGGGGCATTTTGTAAAAAATCAAAAGTTGTCTTTTCTCACTGGATACTGAATGTAATGAGTTGAACTCTCCAGAAAATTCAATTCTGGCCTCTAGGCACCTAGTGTGAACTTTTGAGCAATTTTCGTTAACTTTGATTTTTGGGTGAAAAACTGACTTTTTCGATGATGCCGGCTATGGAAAACGTTGCAGTTTTGGGGGCATTTTGTAAAAAAATCAAAAAGTTGTCTTTTCTCACTGGATACTGAATGTAATGAGTTGAACTCTTCAGAAAATTCAATTCTGGCCTCTAGGCACCTCGTGTGAACTTTTGAGCAAATTTGGTTAAGTTTGATTTTTGGCTGGAAAACTGACTTTTTCGATGATGCCGGCTATGGAAAACGTTGAAGTTTTGAGGGCATTTTGTAAAAAATGAAAAAGTTGTCTTTTCTCACTGGATACTGAATGTAATGAGTTGATCTCTTCAGAAAATTCTATTCTGGCCTCTTGGCACCTCGTGTGAACTTTTGAGCAATTTTTGTCAACTTTGATTTTTGGGTGGAAAACTGACTTTTTTGATGATGCCGGCTATGGAAAACGTTGAAGTTTTGGGGGCATTTTGTAAAATATCAAAATGTTGTCTTTTCTCACTGGATACTGAATGTAATGAGTTGAACTCTTCAAAAAATTCAATTCTGGCCCCTAGGCACCTCGTGTGAACTTTTAAGCAAATTTGGTCAAGTTTGATTTTTGGGTGGAAAACTGACTTTTTCGATGATGCCGGCTATGGAAAACGTTGAAGTTTTGGGGGCATTTTGTACAAAATCAAAAAGTTGTCTTTTCACACTGGATACTGATTGTAATGAGTTGAACTCTTCAGGGAATTCATTTCTGGCCTCTAGGCATCTCGTGTGAACTTTTGAGCAAATTTGGTCAAGTTGGATTTTTGGGTGAAAAACTGACTTTTTCGATGATGCCGGCTATGGAAAACGTTGCAGTTTTGGGGGCATTTTGTAAAAAAATCAAAAGTTGTCTTTTCTCACTGGATACTGAATGTAATGAGTTGAACTCTTCAGAAAATTCAATTCTGGCCTCTAGGCAC